GCAACTAACTTTAAAGTCGACTTTATTTTGACTATGACTACGGGCCAATAAGTTTAGCTCATTTACTCCATTTATTTGCGTCAAATTCATCAAAACATAGTGCGTAAAGTGCAAGTGTTTTTTGCGAATAACTTTTTAAAATTATAAAAGTGAATTTCCGGTCTCGGATTATTGTTGTGCGCATTAAAACGCGTCGATTGGGACCCCACTTGAATTTTTTCATTAATTTTGGCCTCCTTTCGCTAAAGTGCAGTTTTACAAAATAATAATTTGGTTAGCACAAGCATGTGCTACAAAATTGCTTGCTTTTTTCTTTATGCTTCGTCTTCATATTTGTTTACTTTTCAAAGAAAATAACATGGCGCCGCAATTACAAACGTCAGCCAGAAAATAACCTTTTTCTTTTGCTTTTTTGCTTTTTGCTTTTTGTCAGATCTTGTGTTTTTGGATCATGTTGGTTCATGGAGTAGTGTTTCGAATCTCATTGACGAATAATTTATCGCTTATATCGATGAGTTGGAAGATCGATAAGTTTATCACAGTTCTATGTACATGTTTGTGTTAATCCATTTCTTGTTTGCGAATTAAATCGGTTAACTAATATTAAATTTATTTAGTTACGTGTAACGTATTAGGGCAAAGCAAGCATGGCGGATTTTTTGGATTCGGAAGCAGAAGAATCTGAGGTGGTAGAAGAATCCTAAAGTAAATTAAGATAATAAGGAAGTCTTAAATTTCAGGAAGAGGAGGAATTGGACGTCAATGAGAGGAAAAAATTAAAGAAATTGAAAGCTCTTTCTGAGAGCAGCGAAGAAGATGAGGAAGGTATGACAATATTTACGTTTGTCCTAGATCATTTGGGCACCTGCGAGTAAAAGCAAAACTTTGCTACTCGTTGGAAAGGGTCTGGTAAATATACATACGCTGTCAAATGTGTATACGTACTTCGGAAAAAACTTGGTTTTCCAATTGGTATAATTAGATAATTGGTAAAATCGATCTTAAAGAGTTTGCCTCCTTAAGCATCATATATCAAGGTACATTCATACATATGTAATTAAGCAAAACAACTTTTGTATATATACATATCATCGATGTTTTTGCAAACCGCCCATCGACCAGTTGCAAAACCGCCTAAATCGCCGTTGTGGCAAAAATGAGATTTGGTAACCCTGAAATGGGAATGCAATACCGTTTTCAGCCAAGAAACGATTAACAACTACGGTTGAAGTAAATTATGCATCGCAATGTAAGTGAGCGAATAATGTGTAGATTTAAAGCCACACACAAAACAAAAAGAAAAAAAGTATGTTTTTTCACGTGCTCACGTTCAAAACCTGTGGCACGAACTTTATTTTTTATTTTTATTTAGTTTTCTATTTATAGTTTCGTAAAGCTTACTTTCGTATGACATCGCTGTGGAGAAAAAGTACGGTTCGGTTATTTGTGCAATAATTTTGGGTTATTTTATCAAAACGCGTGACCCGAATCGAAAAACTTTAACATACTACCTAAACCACAATCCGTCCGTACGCCTGAATACTTTAATATTTCCACTTGAAACGTGCATATACATACATACATACATCAGGCCCGCCGCAGGGGCGGAGGTTTTGGGGGGGTGAAAATGAAATCCGTGAAGGGAAACCAATAAATATATAAAAAAAACTGCAGTCAAATATTGAGTTTGAAAAAATATTATAAGTAGTATGCATTGGATTTTGACCCCTTAAAGTGTGTTTGCATTGTTCAACTTTGCGTTCAACATTTGCGTTCAACTCAGCGCAGGGTTGCACGAAAAAAAATTTGAATGGCTAAAAATATCAAAATATGAAAAAATATCAAAATATTCGCCATAAAAAGGTGTTTGCATTGTTCAACTTTGCATTCAACTTTTGGTTGAATGGCCTTTCAACTAATCGCTTTCAACAAAGTTGGTCGCCAGCCAACATTTAGCCATTCAACTTTTTTTTCGTGCAACCCTGCGTTGAGTTGAACGCAATTGTTGAACGCAAAGTTGAATAATGCAAACACTGCTTTACGATGAAAGGATTGATTGCGTACGTTTTATGTCAAGTTCTATATTTGCACATTAATCGATTTTGTACCACAGTATACATCAGACATGGGCACTTTTTTGCCCGCGCAGTAGCGAAAGTGCGAGTGCGTGCTGGAGAAAGGGAAAAACAGTTTACGGGAGGAAGGGTATGAAAAGTTGCGAAAAAATTATTTATATCCCACCCACATCATCTTCATCTCAGTACGGCTGCGGTGATACTGACTTTTGGGTCTGATTATGCATACTTCGCATAACTTAGCACAACTTCGCATAAACTTCAAAGTGTAATTTCGTATGTACTTTGTATGTGTTTCGTATGTATTCCATTACCCAGAAATTAGCAGAACTTTTAAAAACTTGGCGATCTGTTGAATTTAGATTTTGCTTCACATTTTCTTAAGTTACACTTTTAGTGCACTGGTACAAATGGTTGTGCGAAGTTATGCGAAGTATGCATAATCAGACCCTTTGTGTACCAAACAAAGAGCATACATTTTCCTCATATAAGGAGCTTTTGACATTTTTGATACTTCACAGCCTGTTGCCTCACTCTTTCCTCAAGAAATAATGGAACGGGCATATATTTCTGTTGCAAACCTGGGTTGCCTTGTGCTCTTTTTTCACAAAAAACTTTAGAAACCCGTAGTAAAAAGCGTAGCAAATTTCTGCCCGAAGGAAATTTGACTTAAGAAAATTTCTTAGCCATTTCTTGTACGTCATTTTGTATGGAATTTTAGCATTTCTTGAGAACTGCAAACAGGCCTATACACAATAAGCCATCGTTCGGACTTCGCTCCGATAGGAGTAGATTTGTTCCGTTTTGTCGAATAAATTTGAAACCTAGTCCTCTACTTCGCTCAACTGAAAATCACCTCCGTTTTGTTGCATCAACAAATTTACTCTTCAAATAGAAAGGGGGTGGGGTTTTTAATAGCAAACTAAAAGTTATATTTTACCTTTTTATCGACACGATTGTTACATTGGTGATCTACAGCAACTTTGCAAATACACTTGAATTCGTGAATAGGCCCTCACAGTCGCCCGATTTGAACCCGATCGAAAAATATTGCTCTGTCTAAAGTTCTGTGATTGCGTTGTAGCCCATCGATGTAACAATTGTCCCGGTAAAGAAAGAATGAAATAACTTTATTAATTTTAACCAAGGCATTTTAACTTTAATGATAATTGCTTGCTGGATTAAGGCGCCTTTACACGGGTCGATTTTCTAGTAGATTTTTGTCGTTCAACCAAAATCGACCCGTGTAAATGACATCTCAACCACTAGCTGGTCGATTTTCCAGGCTACAGATATCGACCCTTATAAGGCCGCTTTAGCTCCTTATTTGTACAAGGATACGAGGAGAAATGAATTGTTTTTTATAAAGATAAGAAATGCACATATACTACGAATACTTGATATTTACCTCCATTTTGGTAGTCCGAACCCAGCAAAGAGCGCTCGGTGAAGGTCAGCTAGTGATCAAATTTGCCAACAGGGCTGCCAAACATACATAGCTATGAAGTGCCATATTGAGGATAAAAAAGTGCTAAAACGTGCCAAATAGAAAATTAAAAGTGCCAAAAAAGGTGTTGTTGTTGTTGTAGCGGCTACTAAGCCCCGTTCGGGACGGTTCATCCATCATCGTTGTCTATTTCAGCTAAGGGGAGGCCCAGGAAGTGTGGGACTTCCACAGGGGCTGTCCATAGGGACAAGGGCGTTAGCTGAGTGGGATTCTCAGGGCATGTGAAGAGGTGCCGGGAGTCATGTGGCGACTCTCCACATGCCGGGCATTGGTTGGGCACATCCTCGTTGATTCTGCTCAGGTAGCTGTTGAGCCTGCTGCAATAGCCAGAGCGAAGTTGGGCTATTGATATGCGGGTCTCCCGAGGCAGACAAAGTTCTGTCCCGTCTACGTCCGGTCGTTGTGTGCCTAGAACGGCATTCACAGGGCGGGAGTCTACATAACTTGAGACTGATTCCCTGTGAATGCCGTTGAGGGCCTGTCGGTAGGTTGTCGGGTCCAGAGGTTGTTTAATATACCTCTGGACTTAGTCTGTCAGTTCGTAAAGATGCCTCCTGACGTGCCGTGGCGAGGGCTCTTCCGCGAGCATTTGCCCGTTGGGATGGCCACGTCTGTAGCTCCCAGCGAGGATCTGCTTGCAAAGCATTAAGTTATGCTCCTTTACCGGGAGCATCTGGGCCTCGTCATGAAGGTGATGTAGAGGCGTCATCAGGAGGCATCCTGTCGCGGTACGTAATGCCGTGTTTTGGCAGGTCTGCAGCTTCATCCACTGCGTCCTGCTAGTCTTGCCTTGTATGTTGCCAACAACGTTTCTTTATCTTTGCCCCAAGTGCTGCCGGCCAGCGACTTGAGGACATTGTTGCGGCTCTGTACTTTGTTGACAATTGCGGTTGTATGCGCCGAGAAGGAGAGCAGACTGTCGAAGGTAACTCCGAGGATTTTCGGGTTATTCAACGTCGGTATTGTTACGTCATCGACGTGAATACCCAGTGGCAGTCTGACCTCCTTCGTCCACGTGGTGAAAAGGGTTGCCGAGGATTTCGCAGGGGATAGGGCTAGGCTCCTTGCAGTGAAGAAGCGAGAAAGTTCGGAGAGGTAACCGTTTACTTTTGAGCACAAGTCATCAATTCCATTCCCAGACGCCATGATCGAACAATCGTCAGCATATGAGACTATATTAACACCCTCTGGTGGTTGAGGAAGCTTTGATATGTAATAATTAAACAGTAGCGGGGACAGGACACCACCCTGTGGTACCCCCTGTTTAATTTTACGTGGCTTGCTGGTTTTGTCTCCGAAGATTACTGACGAGTGTCGACCACTCAGGTAATTCGCCGACCACCGTTTGAGTCCCTGTGGGAGTGAGGAGGCCTCTATATCTTCTAGTAGCGTTGAATGACTGACAGTGTCGAACGCCTTGGACAGGTCCAACGCTACTAGAATAGTTCTCTCACAGGGGCGGTTTCGGTTTAGGCCACGAGTTATCTGAGTGTTTATGGCGTTAAGTGCTGTTGTTGTACTATGCACTTTACGGAACCCATGTTGATGCTTCGCTGGGGTCAGGTGGTTCGTGAAGTACGGGAGCAGCAGGGCCTCCAGTGTCTTCGCTACCGGGGAAAGGAGAGTTATCGGGCGATAAGACTCTCCTTTGTTGGCTGGTTTCCCCGGTTTGAGCAGTGGGACCACTCTCCCCATTTTCCAGATGTCTGGAATGACGAGAGTGGCCATTGACAGCTTGAGGACCTCCGTTACGTACGCTACTCCCGCAGGACCCAAATTTTTCAGCATCAACATGCATATTCCGTCGGGTCCAATGGCTTTGGAGGCTTTCGCCTTCCCGATGGCTACCCTTACCTCACCGCTGGTGAAAACAAGAGGCGCACTAGGTTTTGGCATTTTGTGCAACCTTCTGGTCACTCGACGTTTGGCTTTATCCACCGGAGGATGCAGAATGAACTGCCGGCTAAATTAGCTCGCGCATCTCTCCGGGTCCGACGAAGCGTGGTCACCAAAGTCTATCTCGACTCTGTCGTCGCGCTTCGTCGGGTTGGACACGACCTCACGGTTGACCAAAGCTTGCTCACACCAGAGGCGAAGTTGCAGGTCTTCAGATGCTCTTCCCATTTCTTCCGCTTATGTACGTTCACAAGTTGCCGAATCTCCGAATTGAGATCCCTAATACGGGGATTTCCGGGATCGGCCTGACGAAGGTTGTCGCGCTCATCAGCTAGAACAGCCGCTTCGGCAGGAAAATTCGGACGTGGATCCTTAATACATCCTGCTGAAATGAAGCGAGCTGCAGCAGCGGTGACAACCCTGCGGAACTTACGCTCACCTACATGAACGTCGGTTGGTATGGGTAGTGCAGTGAAGGCGCCCTCAGTAACATCCGTGAAGCCTTTCCAGTCAGCTTTGGAAAAGTTGATATAGGTCCGGTGATCCACGGAAGCAAAGTCGCCAGGTTTATCAAT